ATCTATTCAGAATTCTACTTATCTATTGCCATTGTGATTGCTATAAAGTCCTATTTTTAATGGAACCCACCCCAAAACACACAAAGCATCCCCCATGTTAGAATTAAAAAACTGAGGGTTTCACAACAGAATGAAAGCCACATCTGGACCCTGAGCAGCAGCGCATCTGCTCGCTCTGATGGGCAGCATCACCAGCACCCAGCTCCCCCCACGCTGGAAGCCTGCTCATGCCACTTCTCTGAAGGACTGAGGTTTACAGCTCAATAAAGCTGTAAATTAGGTCAAAATTAACTGCAGCTCCTTTCAAACTGAGGAAAGTTGATCTGTGTGTCTCCCTGGCTGGACCAAGTGTGCCCTGTGCGGACAGATGCCCTGGCACACCAAGAGGACGGGTCAGGCAGGCTTGTGGCCCAGGCCACCGCTGGGCAAGAAAACACAAGTCCTCAGATATTCAAACCATACTGGAGTGAGCTCTCTGTAGTTTCCACAGCTAAAGCTAAAAAGAGTGAGAAAAAGTCAGTATAATACCTTAGCTTTATTGTATTCTTATGTTGTCAATTATCTGAATCTGACTTATCAAAATTTCTAAACCTCATACTGGCTTTTGTTTATGCCAGCCATTTCACATATCAGTTACTCAAAAATGCTAATTCACTTTAATATTTGCCTAAGCAAAATTTAACTAAAAAGTAAAGTGATGTTTTTTAAAAAAAGACTAAATGACTACATAGCAAAGGCAACAAGCTTACATTTTGGGCTGCCTGCTCTGCGGACTATGAAAATGGTCCTGAGCGGGCAGCGCAAGGCTGGCGGCACCTGCCTGACCTGGGAGGAAGTGATGACAGTGCAAAGATGGCTGTCATCTCTAAGGAGAGACAGACCAAAATATGACATTGAAATGCTCCAACGGCATGTTTGTTTGTTTGTTTGTTTGAGGATGTTAGTTGCTGTTTGGATCTCCTTCCTGGATCCCAGGTATCAAAGCAATTTATTAAGCATAACATTAACTTCATTTCACAGTCTATAAAGAAAACATTCTTGAAAAGAGCACAAATTAAAATCAAATCCATGATCTCTAAATCAGATGTTCTCCAAGCCTGGCCTCCACATGTCTAGAGAACTGCTCTCCAGAATGGCTTTTCACTTCACCAGTTCAATCACACCTGTCCCTGTCCCCTTTGCTCCCATTCTTGCCCATCCTAAAGCCTCCACCCAGAATGCCCCAAGACAAACAGGTTTTTAATGAGCTAAATAGTGGCCAGAGGCTGAGCTGCATACAATAAGGAGAGATGCCAAGTGGAACCAGGAAGTTTTTCAAGGTCACATCCCTTATCACGCCAATCCAACAGGCCAAGCAATTGTTCACCTCCTTAGAAGCCAACTTGAAACAGCAAATACTTTGCCTTCTCATCTGTTGCAAGCATATGGGTCAAACATCCTAACTGTAGAACCAACGAACCAATTCTTTCCCAGGCAATTGTATCATGCAAGAATCTACTCCAAAGAGATCTAAAGCAAAACACTATGCAACCCCCAAAAAAGGCTCTTTGTCCCAGGAACTTGCACTGTAACAGACACTTGGATTTCAGTCTCGAGCCAGGACACTGAATACTCCCTGGTCTCTACAAAGCAGGAATTACAGAGAGAGATCATCAGAAGGAAAATAAACCTGTAAATCCTGTTAGGCTTTTTGCTTCATTCCGAAGGATTTTCCCCCCAAACAACACATTACCAATACCACGAGAGCCCGAAAAGGGAGGGTGCTGCACACCAGAATCTGAGCTGCTGGTTCAGAATGGCCCCAGGGTGGCCCCGGGGGCCAGGGCCCCACTGGCCACCAACCTCACGACCATTGAGCCAACCCACTTTGCTTTCCATTTGACTCTCCTCCAAAGCACTTTGCTAGACCTGGGATGTACTTCCAGGTGCGCAGTAGGCCCACAGATATCCCCAATGGCACTCCTACACGGAAAGAAGTGAAAGACTTGATCCATGCCTTCAAGGAGCAAACAAGGAGATGAGCAGCGAAACAAGCATAATATAAGGCAGGGAATGCTGCATCTGAGCTCAAAAGAATGCCTCCCACTAGAGGCTGGGAACCTTAGAAAGTACCCTCTGAACGTTGAAAAAGGAAAGAGGGGGAGACAAGCAGAGAGAAAAGCAAGCATGACAGTTCTGCCATCCTGGAGCAGATATAAGATCAGGGAGAAATTCAGTGTGTCAAGGATTATGGAGTCCCCTTCTTGGACTTGGCCTTTGTAAGAAGGGACTCAATTCCACATGTCAGCAGAGCCAGAGAAAAAGTGACTCCAACACAGAGCTTTCTCTAATGCAGGGCGTCCCTGCAAAAAAAAAGCCCTCCTTGCTCCTCTCCCGGAAGCTGGTAGCCTTCGTGTCACTCCTAGGGCTCCTGCATTCAGGCGGCTTCTGCTTCCAGCCTTAATCTGTGCATCCTCAACTTATCTGGAGCTCAGAGGGCAAGAAACTATGAAGTACTGCAGCCCACCGACCCCTTCTCACTCCATCCCCATGCCCTCCCAGATCACACAGCCCGCTAAGATCCCACCACAGAGTTGTGAAGAGTTTGCTGTACCCAGGTACCTGCTCCCGTTCAGTGGTCACATGCCTGTATTTGAGCCTGCTTTATCTCCTTCTTAAATTTTAAGTCTTCTGAAAGCAGAGATGAAATATCCCACACCCCCACCCTCACCCCCATCTCTATATAGAACCACTCTCATTCAAGCAACACTATGGAAAAACACTGAAATTTCACAGGTTTAAAAGTTAAAAGGAGGGAGTATAAAGTGGAAATTGGCTATAGTCAGAAGCAGGGTGGCCATATAATTTGTAGGCCACATCTAGACACTTACAAGAGTAAAGGCAGCACTTTTCATCACCAGCAGGGACAACTTATAAACCAGGTCTGTCCCAGGGAGAACAGGCAAAGGGTCAGTCACCCTTGCTAGAAAGGTCATTCCAACTGGATGTGAATACCCAGAGCTCCCCAGGGGTTAGGCCAAGCCTGTCCAGTCACTGGGGCCAGGCCCTGCAGGAAGTTCTTCCTTCTGTCTAAAGCCATTCCTTAAAGACTCAAATACCACTTTCATTAACCCCAAGGCAATAGAGAACAATGGCATAAAAAGGCAGCCTCAGAGGGGAAAAAAAAACCCACCTGTGTCCTCACTTTCGGTAGGAATCCCTCATTATTTGTTGGACTGCTAGTCCTCACTCCTGCAACTGAACCAAACTCAACCTGGCTGGAACATAAAAGCTGAGGGTTTTGAAGTCACTGCCAAGAACACAATTGTTCAACTTGCCCCTAGAAGATTTCACAAGCCAAATCCAAAGAAGCAATGGCGTCTGTGTGTGCACTGTGAGTCTAGGGAGCTCTTCTGGAGCCCTGGAAGGGACTGTTTCCCACCCCGCCCCACTCAGAGCCCCTGGTGCGCTGATTCAAGGCCATGGCAGAGCTGGGCTGACTGCAAAGCCTCAAGGAACCAGGAGCCTCTCTCCTCCCTCCCCCTCCTCGGATTCTCTCCTTAAGGCCACGCACCTTGCTGACTCCAACAATACATGTACACAAGAGTTTCAGATGGGGATGGGGAGGAGAACGAGGACCTGCAGGGTCTGTACCAGGGAACACAGGGAAAGGAGCAGTCAGGCCCCAGCAGCCCGTACCCACTGGTAGACACTCATCCCTACGGGTTGATGGCCAATGGAAAACAAATGCTCCTACCCACTCACCATCCCTCCCCCATGTATAGCCATACACACACGTATACATGTTAAAATGAAGTATTTAAGAAGCATTGTATAAAGACAGGGCAACTGTTTAATCCCCGAAGGTGGCTAAACAATGCAGATACAACGTTAAAGAGCAGGCAGCCCCACCCCATGTGCCCTTGGGCTAGTCACTTCACCTTGCCTGGCTTGGGTTTGTCATTGACAACAGGACACAACAGAGTTGACCAATGCCACTGCAATAAAGGTAAAAACATGACACAAGGGGGTGAGATGATTTGTAAGGTTCCTCCTGGCTCCCAGGGTTGAATGTTTAACTCTACCTATTTCCTGAAGAAATAGCTAAAGAAATATCAGTGAAGAGAGGCAAAACTTTTCACTTCTAACCTTTTAATTTCTATTTTAAAGGAAAACATTTGACCACAGAAGTCATGCTGCCTCCACCAGCCTCACTTTCTCTCTCCCACTGACCTTCTGGTCTGGCTGATGTTGTCTGAGCTGCAGGCCTGGGACTCTCACGGACCAGGAGCACAGACAAATCACTGTCCCCATTGCTGACACTAACCCACACACCCGGTGTGTAATTTCTACCAGTGAGACTGGCCATAAAAGTGAAATTCGTGTTATTCATGATCTAATAAACCCATTGCCTCGATAGAAATATATCACTGAAAAATGCCCAACAGAGTCTTGCAGTCTTTCAAATCATGAGGGATATTTCTATCCAAAATAATATCTATATCTCGAAGGGGAAGTGGAATGGATTAGAACCTTATACACGCACACAGTCCTCCTGACTATATCTGGATGTCAAGATTTCCAGTTTGCTCCCCTAACTGTGGTAAAAAAAAATGGTAGGCATGTAACCCTCTCATCTTACTGTTCTGGGTCCACTGCAGGGTGCTCGCCTCCACCGCCCACTGAAGATACACCAAGGCAGGCCCATTTTTCATCCCATGTGAAATGAAGCTGCGTGTCCCCCCGCCCCACACTTACCGTAAAACTACATGGGTCAGCACTCACCCTGGGGAAATAGGCACTGCACCCCGCGAATTACCTGATACGTGTTTGCTACAACCGACAAGGAAAGATGAATGCGATTCAACTGCTGACGGTTGAACTCATGCGGGAGAAAGAACACAAATGCAAGCCAGTGAGTCCCCAGTAGCCTGCACCTAGTGGCTACTGCGAAGGATGGATGCGGGGTGAGGAACTGCAGGGAGAGGAAAGGGCTGCCAGGCAGGTTGCAAAGCACTCACCTGTCCGTACACCTTGATGGGCTCCGGCTGCAGAGCCGCGCTCCGTTTGCTCCGGGGAGGCTTTTCGCCTCCCCCCCGGGTGTCCCGGCGCGCCCACAGCAGCCGCTCCCGCAGGTCGCCCTGAACCACGCGGAAGCCTCGGTCCTGGGGCAAGGGAGCGCTGCCGCCGTGCAGCGTCTGCGTCCGGACCTCGCCGAGAGCCCCAGGCGGCAGCAGCGCGACCAGGGTGAGTAGGAAGGGGAGTCGAGGCTCCCTCCTGCTGCTCCGCGTCGCCATGTTCGAACTAACGCTACGACAGGTGGCGCCGCCGCCAGGAGAGAATGCGCAGCGCGAGGCCGGGGGAGCCGCGGGGCAGGGCCGCGCGGCGCTGCCCGGGCTTCCAGTGTCTGCGCCCCTCCCCACGGTCCCGCCGAGTCCGCCGCCACCACCCCCACCCCCGGGCCCGCCGTCACGTGGGAGGCCCGCAGCCGCGTCCCCTTGGCGCACTTTCTCTGCTCCAGTGCCTAGGCGGCGACTCCACCCCCCCCCCCGCGGAGGGATGGGGAAGTCAAGGCGAGGCGTGCACGCGAGGGTACGTCCCCTCCGCGCTGCTGGCACACCTAGCCGAGCACCCTGCAGCAGTCGAGAGTTGTGTTGGGCGTGCCGGGCGCCTCTGGGTTTATTTGCCACCAACGGTGTTTGGTGTCGAGGTTGTCCTGAACTGAGACCGGTCTCCTTTCGTATTGCACTCCCCTGTCCCTCCTCGAAACCACCACCTAGCTACGACCGCCACTGCCCCCGGCCACACCCCCACGCGAAGAAAGAGGCATGGCCAAAGAAAAGTAGCTCAGAGAACACTGATCGCACTTTGGAGTCCCGATGAAGCTGCCCCCATTGTGAAACTCGGAGTGTGAACTACTCAGGGCCCCACAACCTGAAGGGGCCACAGCCATACCGGGGCTTCTGCCCAGTGGCAACTCGGGATCCCTCCAGGGTGGGCAAGCGCAGGGCCACTCCACCTCAGCAGCAGATGTGTGCATACAAACGCCAATACCTTCGGCAGGCAGCCACCAGTGCTGCAAGTCTTTCACCCCAGGGTTCTTACCTGGAGGCAAGAAGGGGCAGACTCCCGGAGAGTGGAGAGGACACACTTGAACCCGGAATTCTATTGGAAGGGCCAGAACTTCTGAACAATGGGAGAGAGAACTTCGCTTTCAGCTGCTGAGGCACAGCCAAGGTAAATACTTTATGCAGGGTTGTGGGCGCAGCCAAGGCCTATCCACTGTGGTCTCCTGTGTTTAGTTTTGTGCTTCCCTGTGCTCTGGACTCCACCCTGGGTTTTGATAAGGCGAAGGTGAGTGGAGCAGGACTGAGGGAGAGAACACTTCTAAAGTTACATGCAAGCCCTTGGTTCAAAGGAAGGGGGCCATGGTCAGCCCAAATGCTCCTCATCCTCAATAAACCGCAGTAGCTTGAGTCCTGCCTCTTCTCTCTCATTCCCCAGTCAGCTGAGCAGAGCTGCCTTCCCTACCTAGCACCATCAGCGGAAGCCTGCCTTTCCTCACCTCCCTAAATCCTACCACTCTCCCTGGTGCCAGACTTCTTGGGGACCTGGCCTCAGGTCCTGGGGTCCCAACCACCTCCCTCCTCTGATTTTCTTCCCCAGTTTTTCTATCCATCTCAGCATAATCTCAGAACCACTCCAGGAAAACTGCTTATCCTTTGGGGAAGCTGATGAACCGATACAGGATAATGAGAAGGTAGGAGAATTCCTTGGCTAGTAAAATAGGGAAACTGAGGCAGAGAGCTGAACGCACTGTCTGAGCAATTTACAGCCAGGTGCAGGTGGGCACCAGTGGGGAAGCTCCCAGTCCCTGGCAGGGGGCAAAACTGGGAAAACAAGGACCTCACTTCCAGGGTAACCTCTCCTCCCCTGGCCTTCCTCCCTCGAGACAACACCCAGGCCTCAGTTGAATTTCAGCTACAGGCCCAGAAAAGCAGCAAAACCAGGTGGGCAACACCAGGACCAACTGAAATGACTGAAGACCCCTGCCCTGTCACTGACCAATGAGCAGAGACCATGAGCCTGAAAGACTCATGGAGAACTGATGCATATTGGATGCACCTGGAGAACTGATGCATATTGGGCTGGCTGAGACCACCCCTAAGATTCCTGCCAGCCAGCCAGAGATGAGAAGCTTTAAGACAAAGGGCCCAGCACACTCAAGCACGCTCTCCTTTGTGGAGTAGCCTGAGCCATTCCTGCCTTCTTCCTGCACTTCCTTCTTCACAGGCACACGTCTCCTGAACTCTAAGGCAATGGGCAGCGGCAACTGGTCCCAAGCTGATCCCCTGAAACTGTCCCCTTTTCTCTGACTTCCCAGTGAGCCATGGCAGCCCAGGCTGGGCTCCCCTATTGCTTCTACGCTAAACTTTTTCTTGGTTCACTGCCCCCAGCTTTAATAAATGTTTCCTCATAGTCACCTGGGCTTGTGTTGTGAAATCTTTCCTACACAAAGCCAAGAACCTGCCGCACAGGACAGCTGGTCCCAGGGGGACCCACTCAGGGCAAGATTCCTGTCCAGTAACAGAACCACTGCCAGCTCGTCCCCATCTAGTCCAGGGCCGTGTTGTCATATTACCTTACCTGTGGCCTTCCAAGACCAGCAGCAATGACACTGGTCAGTACCCACCATGTAACCCCAAAGGAAAATGAGAGGAACGTGGGCATTGCCAGAATACCCTGTAGCTAATTCAATTATTGTTTCTTTCAACATATATTTAATGAGAACCTTCTGTACAAAAGCAAGTGTCAGAGTCCTGAAGAAAACACGTGTCCCTGAACTGTGGATTTGAAGACAGGTGCTACTTTGCCCACACAGATGGCTGACAGGTTCAGAGGGCAATGTACAGGGAAGGATTAGTAGGGCAGGGCCAGCTTCTTGCTGGTTTTGATGTTGTTTTGCAACTTGGATGCTGGACAATTGGCAAGAATGCCTAAACATGGTTAACTCACCCCCTAAAGCCCTCCCCGGTAATCACTGTCTGTACTCCAAGTCGTTCTCTGGTGGAAAACCTGCCAGCCCCAGGACCTTGCCTGCCTTACATCCATGTGGTATGGTGGAAAGCACTCTGAACTTTGTATCAGAAGGTCTACTATCTAACTTTGGGGACTTGGCCAAACAACCTCTCTGAATTTCAGGTTGTTTCATCTGCAAATTAAGAATCTTAATCCCTACCTATCACACAGAATTACTGAGAATATCAGATGAAAAGATGCACATAAACTTAAATCACTGCAAATTGTGAAGTCCCCACAGAGGAGTACTATATGTAGGTGGCATTGGAGACATGAGTTCTAGTCATGGCTTTGCAACCAATTTACTGTGAGAATTTTGTCCTGGTTAGCTCTGGGCATTGGTTTCTTCCTATGTGAAACAAAAGAGACCTTGCAGCATTGATTGTTCCTCATACCTTCCAGGACCCCCTCTGAGGCAGGAGACAGTAGCAGCCACAGAAGAGGCTCCCAAGACAAGGGACAGAATTGAATTGTGCAATTGAGCAAGGAGTTCCTCCTAGCCTCAAAACCGGATCTGGGGTATAAACAAGCCTCCACTTCCTCAGAAATGACATCAGGTTGGTATGGGAATGAAGACAGACAGAAGGCAGCACAGTGTCCCCCTCCACACTGCACCCCCACCCCATGGCCCTGCTTTTGGTGCTAGAAAACATTATGAGGAAATTGGCAGCCATAGGGACTTAACGCCAGACTCACAGCCGTGTGTAAAAAGCCCAGCCTGTGGTCAGACTACCAACTGCCCTCCCCGTCCTTCTGCCCATCCTAGGCCTTTCTGAGCTCGAGCTGAAGCAGAGCTATGGGAAAACTGCCCAGCGGACAGTGTTCTACACCTTTATCCAGGTGGAGTCATGTTTAAAACAACAAGACCAGCCATGAAGACAAAGGGGAAAAACCCCAAAAGCCTAACTGGACTTCCTTCTGTTCTCACTCCTCTGGTGGCCTTCTCAAGTGGTGGCACCTGTCCTCTCACTCTCCCACGGGCCCTGGCCTGACAACTGCTGTTCATCCTTCAGGTTCCGAGGCCTCCTTGTCCACCTAGCCCAGCTTACATCCCTGCCTGTGAGGCTCCAAGTCCCACTGATGCCTGCTCATCATTTTACTTATTTAACCTCATCTTCCTCTTGAGCTAGAAGCAGCAGGAGGACAACACCAGGATTCTCTTATCCCACATCTACGTTCCCAGTGCCCAGCACAGTCCTGGCACATGGCGGGTGCGCAGTGACATGTACAGAATGCCTGGCTATGAGTAATGGGGTGGGGTTACACCCCCATTTGCTCGTGGTGGGGTTTGGGGAGTGGTTAGGGGGCCAAAGTAGTTGAATTTCAGAACTTTCCTTACCACCATCTGCCCCACTCCTTTCAAAGATGGACTGTGAGTCATAACCAGATATCTGAGTCTCTGAAGCAGAAAAGGGACCTTCCAACTTTGAACAGGTGAACTTTATTCCCTCTCCCACATCACTTTAGTCAGGCAACTCCCATTCATCTCACCAGTTAGGGTGAGATAGAAAGGCCATCCTGCAAAAAAAAAAGGAACAGCTGTTTCACCTTGACCGAGTGGCTCAGTTGGTTGGAGCATTATCCCCTACACTGAAAGGTTGCAGATTCGATTCCCGGTCAGGGCACAACGGTTGTGGGTTCCATCCCCGTTCCAGGAGCACACAGGGGACAACCGATTGATGTTTCCCCCTCTCTCTCTCTCTCTCTCTCTCCCCCATGTCCCTCCCTCCCTCTCCACTGCCCTCCCCACCTTCTCTGTCCAAAATTAAATGACATAGCCTCGGATGAAGATTTTTTTAAAAGAAAGAAAGAAATAGCTTTCTCCTGATGTTGCCAAAAGTTCCTTTAGTTAAGGCAAAGTCCAGGATAATATATGAAGTTGAAAATACATATGCACCAAGAATGTAGAATAAGTAATTTATAATCTCACTCTTGAATTCAAAGAGGAGGTTCTGGAAATAGTAGTGCTTTTGCATAGCAGTGATTTACATTTGCGTAACATTATAACAGAATTATCTACCAGATTTCATCTCACAGCAAGCCTTTTAAGTGGGCCAAAGGAGCCATTATTGACACCTCTATGTTACACATTTGGGGAATTCAGGTTTAGAAAGGAAGATTACATGACTTGCCCCAAGTCACACAGTTTGGCAAGGAGTAAGTCAAACCCAGGTTCGCTAACTTCTACACCTGATAACTCCTTTAGGAAGAGAGGGGTGGAGCTGGTATTTCAGGTCCTGGGTGCGGTGGGGCAGCAGCAGCCCCAGAAATGGGGCAGAAATGCCTCTTTTGAAGCTGGGCCTGCTCTGACTCTCCCTCCCCCAGAACCGTCCCTGCCCCAGGTGCCTGTGGAGGTGGGGTGCTCTAGTGGGGAGTCATGTTACGCTGCTCATGAGTCAGATCCTGCATTCTACACTTTTCTAGAAGACAAATTTAATGACAGATTTGGAGTCAAATTTACAAATGAGGGATTTGGGTACAAATTCTGTGGAGCGAAGGCTGGTTCCACTGCTGACCCTGGGTGTCTCGCCTTGATCCCTTAGAAACACAAGTTCTTGAATTTTGGTAACAAAGTATATGGACCTTTGTGTGTAAAGGGAGAACCTGAAATTTTGTTATTGTTGTGTAGATGCAAGGACAAAGCATCCTGAGGTCAGACAATGGTTTGCTAAAGGTCACCCACCAGGAAGAGTACAGACTGGCATTCGCTTCCTGGATGCGGCATGAGTGGGAGGAACTCAAGTTGAGATGCTTTGAAACCCTAATTACATGTCAAAGGCATGTGGGTCCTTCCCTACCCTGTGCCTCTGCAGAAAGTACAACAGCAGGGTGAGCACAGCCCTAAGCACCAGAGCGCCCGGAGGCTCCCCCGCCCCACAGCTCAGGCACAACTCAGTTTAAGCATCCCAAAGTGCTCCTCTTGCTGAATGCCCCAGCTCCTCAGCCAGGAAGTAGACCCCAGGGTGCCTCTGTGGCCCACCTTTCTGTGATACATTTCCACAGGGACCTAGGATGTCCTTCTCCTTTCATCCTTCCGCACCAGGAAAAACAGAGATGAAAAATGCTCCCCCACTGGCCACCACTGTTGACTGCCTTCCCTAAACAGCCACTTGTTTCTTCTGCCTGATCCCCCTGCCACCCCAGAGCCCTGCAGCCCTGCTTTATGTCTTGTCTCCACGTGGTCGTGTCCTGACTCCCATAGAGCAACTATCTCAGCGCGTGGTTCCTTTTCTGTGTTGTGCTTAGGTTTTTGGATCTGTTTCCCTGTCTTGCTCTTAATAGAATATGTCTCGTTGAAATTAAATCAACAGCTTGGGGGCAGGGGGTAGAATTACTCCCACCTCTGCCACTCACCACTGTTGGCAGTCAGTTGGTCGTGTAAGGAAGAACGCTTTGGAATTACTGCCCCTGGGAGGCAGTTGCCTGTCCTCGTGTTCATGTCAACAGAGTGCTAGAAAGACAGCTGAGGTCCTGCCAGCACCAGGTGAGTCAGTCCTGCAAGAGGGGATAGTTCTGAGACGTGGTATGTGGTGAAGTGGCTGTAACTGATCAGGGCTGCAGGAACGATCACAGAGTCATTAGGACCAGCCCCCAACAGATATGGTTTAGAACGAGCATAAGACCAGCTCAATCCAACATGGCAACTAATTTCATTGTTTGGTAACCCCTGGCCTCATTATCCATTCATTGTAACACATTAGCATACTAAACAGCACACCCTACAATGCTGGAATTGGAGAGTCAGGTCCTCCCCTTCCTCACCAACACCCCCCCCAATCTCCAGAAAAATCCCGAATAGTCCTCCTCTTGCTGAATGCCCCAGCCCTCATTTAAATGAGCCTCGCTCACAGAAGTAAATGCCGCTGGAGACAGGCTGCTCTGTCTGTGCCTTAGTCACTCTCTGCCTCACCATCTCATGAATAAACTCTCTTGCCCTGTACACTTGACGCTGGCCTGCCCTTGAATCCCTTCCTATGCAAAGCTGAGAGTGCACAGTGGGTCGTGGATACACAAACGTGGCAGGATTCTCTAGGCCTTTGTGTGGGACACGGTGCGTGGAACTGTGTGAGACGAGTCACACGAGGAGGCCTGTGGACTGCAGTGGCCCTGATGCCATGGTGGCCTGCCTCCCTCAGCAAGTCCAAACCTAAGCAAAACTGGTCACAGACAGCCTGCTGCGCCTCAAGCTATTGCCAACCAAACGATTTCTTTCCTTTGCTTCCACACTTTTTTTCCAGAAAAGTCTTCCTCCTGGCTCCTGTCTGGGGAGCACTCCTAACCATTGCCAGTTTGGTGCTTCCCAAGTCAAAGCAATATTTGCTCAGAGAGAATCTTAACCTTTGCAATATGCCCCATTTTATCCTTTAACAGAAATGTCTTATTATTTT